GGTCAATGAGATGAGTGGCTTGTTTCATATTCCACCCATTGATTATGGTCGAAGCTTGTCATAATAGTTGGTTAGATGTCTTTATCACATCTATCTTCTCCATATTCCTTTGAATGGAAGTATTCGCTGACTGTCTCTTCAGAAGTCTTGTTTATTTTCTCCAATAAGTCTTCTGGTTGATGCGAAATTCTGACTGAATAATATGCAAAATCCAGATCTCACAGTGTCTTCCAATCGTGCTAGTGTATGCTCCTATTGTCACTTGATTGCCAATGGAATACCCTGTTAAAAATCAAAACCAAGATATTTAGTGATACCACAGTTGCAATGTCAAAATATATACAGGTATTTGTGTGGCTCACAGAGACTAAAGTGAAGCGATGACACCGTCAACTTTAACCGTATATTAAAACCAGAATATCAGAGTCGTATTAAACTGGAAAATCTCTTCTGGTGTTTCCTGGTTTAAGTTTGATGATTTGAATTATGAATGAAGGGCAGTGGAGAAATCAGTTATCAAAGCATCTTCACTATTGCAGTTTAATCCTTTTTGTAGTAGTTGTTGCTCAATTTTTGATAGTGGTTGTTATGTTAGGTTGACTACTCAGTAATATGTGTATTGTTTTCTTTTTGTCTTCGAATTTTTGGCTAGCTTGGTTTAGAGAACTTACCGTGTTTGTCCTCTGTGTCTTCTACTAAACAATGCGATCTTGGTGATCAGCGTTGGCAGGAGTTCTCGGTTAGGGGTCTTCTCTAGTTTTTTTTATTAGATATCCATTATTTCTTATTATTTGTTGACCTGATATAAGTATAATAATTAGGCAATGTGGTAGAGTGTAACTCCGTTATGGATAAGATTTTATTTTGATAAATCACAGTGTCATACAGTAATATTATAACTGTACAACACTGTGTGACTTATCAAAATAAAATCTTATCCATAATAGAGTTATTTGTTGATCTGACAATGTGCATCTGCAAACATTGATCTAACTATTTGTCGTCCACATTGTTCAGATAATTTCCACCACATTGAGCAGCTGAATGGTGGTTTGTATCTGAAGTATGCACTGTAGATGTCAACTAACAAAGCAATGGAAGATTCGAAGATAAACAGTCCTGCTCAGAGAACGCAAATTTATGAAAACGAATGGTAAATGTATCTTATTCCTACTGAGGAAATATACCAAATTCCCATTCATTCGTTTATCACATATATGACACAGAGAAAAGAAGTCACTTATTAGACAAGATTTCTCCCCAGAGTTCACTCTCCAGAAAAAATCGAAAACAAAAGTTCTTCGAAACTTCGTCATTCAGTGATAAACACCAGTTCACTATGTGACGAATTTGATGAAGAAATTAATATACAAATTAATTAATGCCAAAGTGTTCACGCTTCAAACATAAATGTCAAGTTCAACAAAGTGTGAGATGCAAGCTAAAAGGGATCGACAGAAAATTTCTACATTTATTCCCCTTAATGAATTTGAACAAAGCAAAAACTACAGTTTTAGCAGAATAATGTGGTACCATCATTTATTTCGTTGGCTTCTCATCAGCTGCTTACAGCCTAAATAAATTATGAGGTTTAAGTACAGACATGTTTTAACATACTTGCAAATTTTACATGTTGTCAGTTGACAGAAAATTCCACAATTTGTAAACAGTGCTCAGAAGATTGCGCTTATATAGTTTTCACACAGGCAGTTCAAGTTAAAACAAAATAAATGTATGCAGAAAATGGTAAAGGAGTTACGTAATAAAGATGAGATGTGCGTTAGATGCATAGTGACTAGTAAGTTAGGTAACAATGAACTGAGTTGAGCTCAAATCATAGAAACAAGAGACAAGAAAAATTACAGATTATAAAAGGGAGGGTGAGGTTAAAGACAAAGATTACGTAATCAGATGAGAGAAAAAAAGCATCCAGTTACCAAGGCAAGGAAAGACTAATAACTGCTTCTTTCTGAACACATAGATCAGGTTTCAAGCGTTTGATAGAAATCGCTTCAGCAAACTTAAGGAGAATTGAGCTCTTTTGCCTATTGATAATTTTGAACGACTTTTCGACGTCCACCTCATGACCCGTGTCGAGGAGATGCCTGGCGATGGCACTGTTTAGAGCATTTGTTCCCTTTAGACGTAAGCTTTTTGGTACGTGTTCAGAAAATCGTAGATATGCCCTTCTTTCTGTTCTTCCAATGTAACTGCTCCCGCAGATACACGTAAATTTGTATATACAGTTGGAGGTAACATGAGAAGGATATCTATCGATTTTTGATTGCACCAAAGAGCAAGTTGTTCGATAGATGGGAACGAGCTTGGCTGCAGGATAGGCTATGGCTAGTGATGTACTCAGCCTTCTGTTGATCATCGCTGCAATGTTTTCACCTTTATAGTCAAGCTGAACGTAGACTGGCTTTTTACCCACTGTGATTTGTTTTACATTTGTGACTTCAGATCTTCCATACTTGTTGATGAACTTTTGAGGATACCCATTTCTCTTCAATATCTTTTCAAGGAACACAAACTCCTCCTCTAGTTTCTCTATAGAGCATATTCTCCTCGCTCTATAGTACAGAGTCTTGACTAGACCCCGTTTAAAGCTATTTGGACAAAAGCTGTTAAAATGCAAGTATTGTCCTTTCCATGTGGGCTTTCGATAAATTGACTTTTGAAGACTACCGTCTTCTAGGCGTTCCATGGCGATGTCGAGGAAGTGAAACTTTCCGTCACTTTCATGTTCCATAGTGAAATCAATATTGGCGTGTGCACCATTGAATAATCTTAGTAAGTGTGAAGCATGGCTTTCATTTTCGCACACTATAAATGTGTCATCAACATAACGACAGTAGGAAGATGTTTCGTCGATTGCATGTTTCAACTTTGTTCTTTCGAGGTTTGACATGAATATATCTGCTAGAACAGGGCTGAGTGGACTGCCCATAGCTACACCATCTATTTGGCGGTAAAACGTGTTGTCAAATTGGAATTGCACATCCATGGTACACATAAGCAGTAGGCGTTTGAATTCCGATTCTGGGAGTGGGAGAAGATCGGACTGCTGACAAATGATCTCAATAGTTTCATTGATTGGAATCATTGTGAATAGGGAGGTTACATCAAATGACACCATGAATTTATTTAGAACGTTCATGTGGTTCACACTTTCAGAGAAATGAAATGAGTCTTTCGCCGTGTGCACGCCTAGCCGTTGACGAATAGGTTCCAACTTCTCCGCAAGCCAACGTGCCACCTTATGTTGGGGCGAGTTGATCATCGAAAGTATGGGTCTCAGGGGGACTTGTTCTTTGTGTATCTTCGGAACGCCATACATGTGTGGCAAGCGGGACCCTCGGGGTTTCAAGTCATTGTACGTGTTGTTGTCAATCAATTTCTTCTTTAGGAGATCTCTCAAGGCGTTTGTGATACGTTTTTCGACGGCATCTGTCTTATCTTTCTGGCAACTGTCAACTTTAAACCTCAACGGGTCATTTAACACAGCTTTCATCTTTGCGATGTAGTCCTCTTTGTCCATCAGCACCACACCTGAGCCTTTGTCAGGTCTCAATATAACAATTTTGTCATTATTCTTGAGAGCTTTCAATGCTCTTAGATGCTCTTCAGAAAGGACTTTGGAATATGACGTTGGAGAAATGAGGTATTGATTTGCAACGTCGACGAGCTTCGATTTGAACCAGCTCCTCTTGTCATCATCAACTGGAGTGAGGTCACTCAACTGATAGAATAAGTTTTCGAATTGAACTGCGACATCAGTTCTTTCGACAAACTTATTTGGGATGTGAAAGTTAAATCCAAGAGAAAGTGCTTCCATTTCTATGCGATTTAACTTCAGACTCGACAGATTACAGATAAACTCCTCAGGATTTTCTGGGAAAACGTCACACAATTTCTCCTTTGTCAGGGATTTTGAGAGAGTTTTGTAAAATTCTTCACATGTTTTCTGTTGAAGTCCTTGGATGAAATTGATGAATTTGATGCGACATACTATACTCAAACTATTGACGACACCATCGAAAGATCGGGCTTCAGTTCTCAATTTAGAAATCAGAGATTCTGTTGATTCAATATGTGATTTTGTAATGCGTCGAAGATTCTTGAGAGATGGGGGTAATTTGCAAGAACGCAATGACTTCATGAGATGACGAGGAAAGCAGTGAGACCGCAAGCAATCATGATAAAACTTCAATCGAGTCACCTCTCTTGATATTCTGCAACGAATTGTCACCAACCGATCCAGTGACTTAAAAGATTCTCTGGGGAGGCGTTTTTTCAGAAATTTCATACATTTATTCCCCTTGATGAATTTGAACAAAGCAAAAACTACAGTTTTAGCAGAATAATGTGGTACCATCATTTATTTTTTTCTCTCATCTGATTACGTAATCCTTGTCTTTAACCTCACCCTCCCTTTTATAATCTGTAATTTTACTTGTCTCTTGTTTCTATGATTTGAGCTCAACTCAGTTCATTTTTACCTAACTTACTAGTCACTATGCATCTAACGCACATCTCATCTTTATTACGTAACTCCTTTACCATTTTCTGCATACATTTATTTTGTTTTAACTTGAACTGCCTGTGTGAAAACTATATAAGCGCAATCTTCTGAGCACTGTTTACAAATTGTGGAATTTTCTGTCAACTGACAACATGTAAAATTTGCAAGTATGTTAAAACATGTCTGTACTTAAACCTCATAATTTATTTAGGCTGTAAGCAGCTGATGAGAAGCCAACGAAATAAATGATGGTACCACATTATTCTGCTAAAACTGTAGTTTTTGCTTTGTTCAGATAATTTTTCTATATATTTAAAGGGTAATTAATTTCAGTCAAGATGAACACAGCTGAAAAGAAACTGCTAAATACTTCACTTGCACACAATGCACGGAATCCCCAAAATTTGTCAAACAGTTTCAAGGAAACTAAATTCTCACATGGTAGTGATTAATTTTCACGTCTACATCTCTATCCATGAACTATGAAATCAATAGTGCCGGCTGTGATAGTGGTAGCCATGCTGACTTTTGCATTGTTTCTTATCATGACGATATTTATCATAATAGAGCTTCTAGGGTTGCTTATGTTAATCGGAATGAAGCTTTCGATGATGACCACGGCGACGATCATAATGATGATATTGAACATAATGTCCACATTCGTGGTGATAATAGTCAATGTAGTCGCGGCGGCGACTGTAATGGTGGGAGCGATATTCATGATGATCATAATGGTAGTCGTCGGCAGGGAAACAATTACTCTGACGGAATTTCTGAAGATATGTAGCATTACCAAATCTCTACATAGACATCTGGAAGACAAAATGATCCAATGAATCAATAGACAACGACGCGGTGTAAGTAAGGCTTCGATATCTGATAAGTTGGGAATTGTCATTCGATGAGCAGCAAGCAAGTCGTTGAGTGTGAACTCGACATGTGCAAAGAAGTTAAGTGGAGAAAAACGTCGGTGAAATCGGAGAAAGGAACACTTAACATGGATTGTGGTGAACCAATAACTTGAAGAAGGAGTGGAAGAGTTGCAAAGAGTTCAGGAATATGGTAGAATATAAAACTAAACAAGTCGTCTCTGCACACAATCCCAACACAAGTGATGATGAGTCGCTAGCGCCTTCATCGTACACATGCATCGAAATACTACACCTCTTGTACAATTCGGCCATACACCGCGAGTTATTTAGAACGATGACATCGGTGCAGCTGCGTGACCTGAGTTCACCGGGTGCTCGAAAACTGTGGTGGCGACTGTCATCCTGAGGATCACATTGGATAATATTTTGAGTTGCATTAGAAACGTGTGGGATATGTGATGGCAATGTAACCACTTTCACAGGACAAATTGAATTTATCAAAACACATTGAGTTGGCCGAAGGGAGCTGTTAGTCCTTCAGATATCCATTGATGGTTCTCCGAATGTGAATATTGATCCATAATTCAGCCGAATAGAATTCATCCCCAGGACGATTCGTAAGCGAGACTTCAGAATCGAAACCAAAGAGTCCTCATCATTTCAACAATATTAAACAATCAGATGTCCTATTTGAAAAATGTCACCTTTGACTCTGAATCCAACCTAATAGAATGGTGGCAATTGTGACATTTCTACATTATCACTCCGATGACAGAATCTTTGTCACATATGAAGATGATGGTTTGCGTGTGTGTTTAGTGAATATAGAAACTTTGAAATAGCAGGTCGTAATAAATCGATAATTTCTGGGGTCGTAATGAGGCAATCCGCAAGCAAACTAAATTCAGGCAACCCAGATACCATTCCGTATTTATCTCTACACAGTTTGTCATTGATTTTCCACTGGACGTAAACGTTGCACCTCAATAGTGCTCCTTTGAAGGACATGATCGGAACACTCACGTCCAATATGTTATTCTCGATGAATTCAAGTACTAGGGAGGTAGTTCCAGTGGGAGAGACATTGGTGAGGAGAGGGAGTTAACATCATGCAAACATCATTCTCCACCCGGGCCCATTCACACTACTACTAGAATTGGCAGATCCCAGTGAATCTACAACAACACGATGATTGAGATTATTTCCGACGGGCACAAGGATGACTGTGAGCCATTTAGCATTAGCTTCGTAAGCAGGAGTGGACTTATCCTAATTGTTGCAGTCTGCCACTACACATTTTAGCTTCAGAAGTGAAAACACCAAAACCAGATACTGGCAAACATATTTGGAGCACTGATATAAGACCACTTGTATAAAACCATGTGAAATGAGTTCACCAGTGACTAGCGCTACTTCCTCGGGGATGTATATGCGTGTGTGGATCAGATTTCAATTGAATTTCCATTGGTCCTCAAGCAAGAGATTTCATACACAGGTAAATATCCTGCCATAACATCAAGTCATTGTCTGAACTGGTTGGTTTCACCTTTATTAAATGCATCATTCGTCCTCAAGCAAATGCACATTAGATTTACATACACAAATAGCAGCCAACACAGCCATCTGAGAAACACTCAGTCACTTAACCGATGTCATCATGCTTGTTTCAAATTTATCATAAGGACTCGTAAAAGGTTGAAGATATTTATTCATCATTCCATTAGGTGACTTCCTAGGATCTCTGTGGACTTGTAAAGCCATTAGGAAAAAGCGGGGAAGAGTAGGTTGCGAGATGAAGCTGAAATCAACTGAGATAGATATTGACAATGTGACCGTTCAAGATATCAAGTATCAGTGACATGAAGGACTAGGACAAAATACTAACAACTGGCTGTTTACCTGGTGGCAAAATGTGAGATAGGCATGAATGGACAGAGTTTCATCGATTCAATGAATAATGATTGAAAGTGAAATAAAAAGCTGAGTGTGATAGCAGCAGTCAAATCATGAAGATGAGAAGAGCACTTGGGTCTCATGGCTGTGCTAGTCGAATTCCAGACCGGTTCACAACGTACTACAACACATGTTTTCATTTAACGACCAGTCACCAGCGATTCCATCATTATCAATCTGGAGATATAAGTGTGTTCCAGATAATCAAAACAATTTGTAATCGCTGTTTCTATCGTTCATCAACAAGAGATATTAAAGTTATATTAAAAGTGAACAGTCTAAAAGAGTGCATTCGACAACGTCCATCGGGAGGTGATTTTGCAACTACGTCGCTACTACGGGGTGCCACCGACAATTATACATCTCATCCAACAGTTGTACAGCAATGCTGCATGCCAAGTAATACACAACGGGAAACTTGTGGAAGCCTTCGAAGTGAGGACGGGAATGAGGCAAGGCTGTCTTCTATCGCCAATGATCTTCCTGATTGCAGTAGATTAGAAAATGCGACGAACAGAGGGCAATGAGAAAACAGGCATAAAATGGACTCACACGAAAAAGTTGAATAATCTGGACTCCACCGATGATATATATCTGATTTCCCACACACTGGAAGATATGCAAGTGAAAAGTAACAAGTTGTCAGAAGAAGCATCAAAGATAGGACTTCAGGTGAACAAAGATAAAACAGAGGTAGGTGATGCAGATTCCTGGCCAACAGCGACAACAACAACAGACAACAATCAGCCAGCATAAATGGGAGGAAACTGAAAGAAACTACCTCCTTCACCTACCTGGGAAGCATCATTTCAACTACAGGCTAACGGAACTGACGAGGATATCAAAGCCAGAATCGGAAAAGCAAGACAAGCTTTCATCACTCTCAAGTCTGTATGGAGGGCAACAGCACTCAGCATCAAAAATAAGACCCGGATTTTCAACTCCAATGTGAAGTCAGTCAGTACTACTATACGTATCAGAGACTTGGCGCGTCATAAAGAACATCTCAAACAAACTACAGACCTTCATTAACAGTTGTCTTTGCTCAATACTCAAGATCAGATGACTAGTAAAGATCAGCAACACGGATCCTCGGGAGCGAAGCAACCGGGAACTGATTGTGCAAAAAATAGGCAAGAAGAAATGGAGATGGATAGGCCATACACTGAGGAAACCATCAAGTGACATCACTAGAAAAGCCATTGCTCGAGTGGAACCCGAAACGGAAGCAGCGAGGTGGTCGTCCAAGGGTAAATTCGCAGAAGCCATAAGAAAAGGATATGAAAGAATGTTGGCAGATTAGGACCGGGGTGAAATCCTGGGAAGGGAACCGAACGGAATGCAAACTCTCAGCTGAAGCACTATGATCCTGTGGGAATTAAAGGCAATAAAAATATAATTAAAAATAGTCTAAAAGATTAAAAGTGAATGGTTTGAGTTAGTGGCCAATTTGTTGGAAAACCTACACAGGATTATAACACTACAGACTACAGACACATTGTCTAAGACACATAACTTTGTACCAGCCGATGGATATATCTACTAGAACACCAGATAACTGATCACACCTGTCCATCCGGATGTTCACTCCTAATGTTCTAAATCCAACTGAGAATCCATTTCCGAGCAGTCATACTGAACTACATTTCTATATTCATCAACCAATGCACAGGTTTAGTCGAGTCAACGTTTTCGCGTGACATGTATTGAGATCATCCTATGAGACTCGCAACGAAAGACTACCATTGAAGTAAAACACTTGTCAAGATCATGCCTTCGTCCAGTGCACAGTATACATGGATATGAGGAATAGAGGGTGAGATATCAGGGGGACTAATAAGGGAAACATTATAGTCTACTGAATTGAATTTTTGATTTTCCCGTCGATTGATTATAGTCTACCGCCTAATATGTCGATGCCTATCACCAAACTAGCAGAATCACATCAATCCAATGACCAAAACGAGAATGAACAGGAGACACAGCGATCAATGCATCTTATGTGGGACCTTGAGAATCCCACCAATAAAGCGGAACACACAAATTCTTAAGCATGATGATTCTCCTACTATCTAGCATACGACTTCGTTTCACGACAGATATGCAGGAATATACCATTATCATATGGATTAAGGTGCATAGATGCATGGATTTCACATGCACGAAATTTAGAAGACAGGTACACAAACTTTGATAAGGGTTGGAATATAGTAGAAACCAGGATGTTGATTGCTATCTGAGGTTTACAGGAGAATATTAGGGCATCAGATAGTAACATGGATAGCGCTGCATGCGAGAGCAACTGGACAAAACGCACCAGACACTATACGTTGACTAACATAACCACCAGTCGATGGTCAAAATACAAGGTCCACAGAACAAAACAAATACGACGAACTCAGCAACGTGAGTGGGACAAACTGGCAAACATATTACGAATAAGATAACTATCAGATCATGGGGAGAGGATTTATCGCATTGCTCGTGCACCTCTAAGTCCCATGCGTGAGAAACGTATTGCCTAGTTCACTTAAGCCTTTTTGTCCCTTGCTAGCAAATGAAACATTATCTGCTCGATGAATAAAGAGTCGTCACATCTGCATATAGGAAATCGACAACAAACTTCATTCGATAACAGTTTAGAGTCATATCTGTGTGGGGAAGGAAGTCGGAAACGATCTAGCAACACATGCGTCGCTGAGACGTGAATTTCCGTCTCTACCAGTTGCTGAACACAAGTAAGTTAACTCGTCTACATATCGATCAATGTCCACTAGTCAGTCAGTTAGACGAAATCGAAACAAGGTGAAAGGACTAGAATTTATTTTTCATCAACAACAAGACTAGCTCACAAACTTCATCAGTGCTCTCCTTCTTTCTTATGGCTTCTCTTCTTGTTCTTCTTGTGGTGTCTCTTGTGTTTCCGCTTATCCCGTACACCGTGTTCATGCTCTGCATGACT